ATGTGCTGGATGAAACGCTGCTCATGTTAACGTTCCATTTCAGTCAAATAATTTCAGTTGAAGCTTAAATGAGTCTTTCTCCCAAACGAGTTTAATGTTATTATAATTGATTGAAATTGATTTTTTTTTAGCCGATTATCAACCGAAAAAGGCTGCCAAACATAGCCTAAGTTAGAAACCCTAAGCATCGAAAAGCTTTGAGAGAATAGAGGCGTAGAGATAGAGAGAGTAGGGTTTGCCTCTGCTCTCTCTCTCTCTCTCTCTCGAGGGAGGTAGCGGCCATTTCATGGTATACCAGATTTTGTTTTCATCTCATATCTTTCTATCTGCTTCTTCTTTATCTGCTATGGTTGTTTGTTTGTTAGAAAATCTAGAAATATCAATTGCTATCAGAGCCGAGGCGTGAAAAAGGTTGAATCTATTTGCGTTTTTCGTTCCTAACGAAGAACTGCTCTGCTTTCTTCTGTTTTTCTTTTATTTCGAGATTAGCCTTTGTAATCTTGTTTGTGAACGGAAATCTGTAAAAGTTATATTGTTTGAATCGCCATTTCATAACGATCCAACAACATATCTTCTTTTTCGGTTTCAGCAATTTTTCATTTTCGAAGATCTCTACATTGAGATCTCGAAATCCTTGTTTCTCGAGATTACATAAAGGTTTTCGATTTGAAATTGTTACAGGAAGAATCTCGACCTTCAGGGCTATTCAGAACAGTTTTTCAGTTTTTCAAAATTCGAAATTTTAATTTTGCAGGATCTCAACATTTTGAGGATTTCGAAATTTAGGATTTCGAAATTTGGGATCTCGATATTTTGGGATTTCGATGTTTGAGATTTCGATATTCTGAAAGATTTCGAGATTTTTGGAATTTCTCGATATTTTGAATCTTTCAAAGTTTACAGTTTCTCGAAAAACCTCAGAATTTTTCGAAGCTTGACATTCTGCGCAGTTCATCGAAGCTTTACATTATAGAATTTTTGAATGATTCCCTGCTTATCAAAGTTTTTAGAAGTTTTCGATGTTCTGATGTTTTTAAACAACAAGTTCTCAATATTCTGAGGTTTTCGAAACTCCAAAGTTTTCGATGTTCCTAACATTTTGAAATTCTGAAGATTTTGAAGTCTCAAGGTTTTGTTTTGCAGGTGGATTTCGTCATTATTCTTCGAGGCGAACTCGAGATTGAAATCTCGAAGTTTAAACCTCGAGATTGTCATCTCGAAGTTTAAACCTCGAGAATGTAATCTCGAAGTTTAAACCTCGAGATTGTAATCTCGAAGTTTAAACCTCGAGATTGTAATCTCGAGCTTTAAACATCAAGATTGGAATCTAAAAGTTTAAACCTCGAGATTAGGATTTCGAGGTTTCGCCTTAGAATTTGTTCAAACTCCACCTGCTCTCGATATTCAACATCGAGAACCTCAACTTCGAAGAAATTCCTCAAAAACTCAAAATTTCGAGATTTTAAGCGACATCACACTGTTTTGGCCATAATTTTTGACTCGGTGATCCGATTTAAGCGAATCATATGTTGTTGGAAAGCTAACGAAACGATCTACATGAATTATGGGGATTTACCCCAGAAACCTCAACCACGCGCCCTCACTCGAGGTTTTTGAGGGAGATATCCTTAGCTTTCCGAGGTACATTATCAATCACCGATGTCAAGGTCAAAACTTAGGCAAATATGTTCAAATTCTTCCAAAAGTCAGACCTAAGGTCAAAGCTTTTCTAAACTACACCTCAGAGGTCCAAAAATCGTAGATAATTCAATCAACCTCACGTCAACGGTCATTCTACAACAATCAACAATCAACTACTGAAGCCTCCCTAACTCATAAACATTATGTGATCATCAATATGCTTAAATTCTAAATGATGAGCTTGATAGTTGTGATTCTTTAACAATCAAACAATCGTAGCAGATAAAGAAGAAGCAGATAGAAAGATATCGAGATGAAACCAAATCTGGTATACCGTGATAATGGCCGCTGCTCTCCCTCGAGAAGGAGAGCAACAACAAACCCTCTCACTATCTCGCCTCTAACTCTGAAGCCTTACAATCCTTAGGGTTTCCATAAGTTAGCTTCCTTTTATAGGAGAAGTTGACTAACTTATGGATTACAAAGAAGTTAATGAGCTAATATACATTTGTGGCCCATATTACACGTTTAACTAATAACTGCACAAATACAAAGATATTTAATTAGATTAGACACCATAAAAATATTCCTAACAGAGCTTAGGGAAACCGTCATGTGTGGTACATGTTCAGATTGCTCCACACACATGGCGAGTATCTCAAGCTGTGAGCAATCAATCCTTGCACATTCTGAGGGGGAGTTTCAGATTTCTCCTCCTGGCACCTTACACCGACAAAGCAAGAAATCTCTCCAAGGATGCAACATTTTAGGGGGAGTGTTCAATGTTCTCCTCCCCGGTGAATAACAATGACAAAGCATATTGAGTGCTCCAGTTGAGGGGGGTACAGAGAGAAAATCAAGAAACAAATGAGAGATCGTGTCCCTTTGGCTTAGTAAACCTAACTAAGCCTACCCGAGGGACAGCCGAGAGTAAGTGAGTGAGTGAGTGAGTGAACATTATGAGCGTTAGGAAGCAAAAGGCTCAAGTGAGCAAGAAAACAATAATCAATGATGAGTCTGCTACCTCAACTGCCTGCTATGAAGTGAACATTTACTCCTAGGCACTCAAATACTCTGGACTATCCCCATAGGTTCAGGACTGATTTAATCAGATCCCGGGTAGAAGTAACTGCATCTTGTCCAACAGTGCATGCCTAACCCTACCCAAGACCACTCATTCGTCTCCCAACAGACAAGTGTTTACTCATATTTCACGGGGAACCGCATCTCTCATTCTTGTCTCCTACCGAGGCAAGTGATACTGACTACAGTGGCCTCATCCCCATGCCACTGAACTTTCAATGATCACGTCATGTCTAGTTACCTCACTCGCAAATGTTTTGAATTTTCTATGACACAAACGCACTTTTAGAGTCAGTTGCAGGTCTTCATGACCCGCGAGAACTTCCATAGGGCCTATCTATTACAGATGTAGACCAATGATTGGAAGAAAGTCTTGATGATGCAACATAAGAATCATCATCATTTTCAGGCCATCGCATCAGAGTTTATCTCTATAGTGATGATAACGGGCGTCTACACCACCCCGGGGGGCTACATTATCTTTGCTGATCTTTATGATCATGCCATAACAACCTGAATGACATCTGCTTTAGATGTTTTACAATGATTGGTTGGAAGTCATGTTAGAGCTTTAATGTTTCTACCATTCTATATAGGCCAGACATCAGTGTTTACATTGATGTTGTGATAATGGAGCACCTTAGTGTATCCGGTTTTGTCGTTTAACTCTTCTCTGTTTTGTTTTTCTGCTTTATTTCCCATTTCGAATAAAAGAATAAAGGCATGACGCCCCGATTCATCGGATCGTCATGAGGGGGAGAGTGGCCCACATGCTGTTAAATGTCACCAAATCATTCTCGGACACTTCTCTCTTATCAAAAATTTCAACGACTCTCTTCTATCTCTACACCTCAAATGGTCAGCTACACTCACAAGTCAACCATCTTTTTCCGCTGTGCCACCGACAAGGTCTCCTCAAATGCATTCACTTCAAATAGTAAAAAACACTACATTGTGGAGGAGACAAAGGTCACATACTCGAATTCTAAAGATGATTTCCATCAAATGGGAGATTGCAAGGATTTCTTCAGAAAGCCTTCTCAAGAAGTCAAGTTCAAAGACAAAGGAAGCTGAATAACAACAAAGACAAAGATATCTGCGCTGCAATGCTGATTCAACACGATTGATCGAACACCAAGGGGAGATTGTTAGGAATATTTTATGGTGTCCAATCTAATTAAATATCTTTGTATTTGTGTAGTTATTAGTTAAACGTGTAATATGGGCCACAAATGTATATCAGCCCGTTAGCTTCTTTGTAGTTCATAAGTTAGCCAATTTCTCCTAAAAGAAGAGACTAACTTATGGAAACCCTAAGCATCGAAAGGCTTTGAGAGAATAGAGGCACAAAGATAGAGAGAGTAGGGTTTGCCGCTGCTCTCTTTCTCGAGGGAGAGCAACGACCAGTTCACGGTATACCAACTTTGTTGTTCATCTCGATATCTTTCTATCTGCTTTTTCTTCACTTCTATGATTGTTTGTTTGTTAAAGAATCTGGGACTAACAATATGATTGACCGAATAAGTTACCATATCAATTAAGTTCATTAAATCATTTGTAAATAGGCCCATAGTGCAGCTAAAGTAATTAAGGAATATCAAACAAACTATTATAAACATGATCAGGCTAAAAATTCTACTCGTAAATGGAATTAGAATTCTCTAAATAGGATGTGTATTTATGTTTAGTTTTAATCGTGGACAATTACTACTCCCTCCGTCCCGGAATTATCTTCATTATTTCCTTTTCGGTCCGTCCCAAATTTATCTCTTTTTTCCCTTTTTGGTAAAGAATATGTGGTTCACAATCATTCTTACACATTTCTCTCTCCTCTGCATAACTCTCCACCACACAAATCCCACTATCTTAAAACCCGTGCCCGATCAAAACCGGAGTTAAATATGGGACGGAGGGAGTATAAAATTTATGGAGTACTTTTTTGTAACGTTGCAAAATAAAAATTGCTTAAAGAAGTGATAGAATGAGTGCATTTGGCACTTAATAAGATCAGACATAAAATTCATATTTTATGTCTGTATAGACATAAAAAAACCTTACACAAACATGTGTAAAAAGTGGGTACACGAAAAAGTGTGTAACTCAAGTCCAACTCATTTACGAAAGGCAGAAAGCCCAACCCAAAGATATCGTTGTGTGGACTAGACGCCGCGGGAGCGTGCCGCCTGGCGGCGTGGGCCCTGCTTCCAACGGCCACGCGGGCCCGCATTGAAGCAGGAGACGATGAACACAAAACACTTCTCCTACTCCCTCCCTATCCACAATCTCTCGTTCTCATCGTCTCCATTAAATTACAAGTAAAAAATCTTCACCAAACTGTAACACTGAGTTCATACAACAATGGGCTCTGGTTCCTCGAAGGTTCCTGACAGCTCCTCCCATGGAGGCGGAGGCGGCGGCGGTCAACTCTACGTGTCTCTAAAAATGGAGTGTTTCGACCTCAAGCTCAAACCTGAGCTTATCCCCCACGTCTTCGGCTCCGTTCCTCTCGTAGGCTCTTGGGACTCCTCTAAATCCGTAATCTCTCCCTTCTCTCAGTCTCTGCCTCCCTTGCTACAACTTTTATTTATTGCCCCACTCCAATGCTCTTATTAAATTGATAATGCGTTTGTTTGTATTTATATAATGATAATGATGATAATAACTAACAGCTTCCAATGGAGCGCGAGTCGGCTTCCATGTGGGAATTGAGCTTCGTTGTGCCGCCCAATCATGGTTGGTACTTAGTATGGGATGTTATGAAATCCAATTATCCAAATTCGTCGTATTTGTAAAGTAACCAGCATTTGGCTTCTCTGTTTATCACAGAGACATTGGATTTCAAGTTCTTGTTAAAGCCCAAGTATAATAATGGACCGTGCTTTGTGGAGGAAGGTGTGAACAGAGTTCTATCTGGAGGAGCATTGGAGGGGGATGCACGGTCTGCTTTGTTTGAGTTGAACAAAGTAGAGGTTATTGAGTACAAAGTTTACATTAAGGCTGATAGGGTATCGCCGTTTGATCTTGCTGCCAGTTGGAGAGCCTTTCAGGAGAACCGCAAGCCTTCCACTGTTCGAGGCATACCCGATGTTAGTATCAATTCTAGTGTGGAGAATGGCAATGAGGCAGGTTTCGGCCTATTAGTTATGCAGCAATGTTCTTTCTTTAGCACATATTTAATTGGCATACTAATTACACTGAAGTCGTTTTTTGCAGAATGGATTTTCATCAAGTCTAGAGCTTGATCTTGAGCACTATGTTATTCCAGCTCCAGCTGCAACCTCTGCCCTGGTTTATGCTGCAAACCTGACTGAGAGTCCCCGGTCATTCAAAGGTACCAGGGTACTTTCTTGCACTGATGATGGTGCGAACATTGGTTCACATTCATACAAAGATGATCCTGTTTTGAATGATCAGCCTACAACACTACAGGTTAACTCCATGTTTTTTGTGTTCACTAAAAGGAACAGGAAGTACATAACCCCACTTCACTGAGACTGTAATTTTTGGTTAATGTCTCTATACATGCAAGTTAGTATAACTGCTTAATCATGCATTCATGCACTGGATCTATCCTCATTCCATTTCTTTTGTCACTAATAAGGTATAAGTTAAATTTATACTTTACCAGATTGCCCACTTTCATCCTCTATTATTCATTAAAAAGTTTTGCACCTTTTTCCTTTTAAAGACTTCAATAGATTAGCATTCGGATATTCTTTTTCAGCTGATGTTTGAATTCTGCTATGCTGACATTTATTTAGGAGATGGAAACACTTATTCGAGACCCGCCTAAATTGCATTTAGGTTCTCGAATGGTTGAGTCAAAATCTGTAGGACCACTCGTTCCTTCTCACAAGCAAGATAATCACAGAAGTCTCCTTGTGGATAGGGGTGTGGGGGTCTCAAGGCTAGTTAAATCACCTAGTACAAACACATACTCTCTTAACCTCAAGCTTGGTTCAGAAACCAAGGTTAGTACTATGTAGAAGTTTGGTCAATATTATTTGCTTAACTCTGAATATTTCCTTTTCTGCAACTGATCATTTGCTTTGAATTCTTAGAATCCAATGCCAGCTGCTGCAGGAGCTGTTGCAGCTGGGGCAGTGGCTGATCAGATGCTTGGGCCCAAGGAGGATAGACATCTAGCAATAGTCCTGGTATTTATCCTATGAGATTCTCCAAATACTGTTGAGATGATTTAAATAATACTGTAGCTATTGTCTTTTGCAATTTGAAAATAAAAACCACTGTGGAGTTTAAGCTGCTATGTGCGCACCCGCACTGCCACCCAATTTCCCGAAATCGGATGATATTCTGACTTTCAGGAATGAATGAAGAATATTCTGCAAACTTGTTTGCAGGTTGGTTTGCCAGCTCGTGGAAAAACATTTACCGCTGCTAAACTTACCAGGTATCTTCGTTGGTTAGGGCATCACACCAAGCACTTCAATGTTGGGAAGGTATCTTTTTATTTTTTAATTGCGGCCATCTTTATGCACTTTTTGTAGTACATAGTAGGGAATTTTATTTACTTGTTTTTCTTTGCCTAACAGTATCGGCGTCTCAAACATGGAACCAATCAGGTATTTTCTTTTTTGCTGCTGAGCATTCCAAACCCAAAAATATTCATTGTGGATAGCATTCTATTTCTCTTATCTGAAAAGTAGAACATATTTTGGTTTGCTTATGAACATTTCCTTAGTTTCTCATGTCAATATTTGCAGATATCATTAGGTACCCTACCCTCAGAATTCCATGTCCATATATTATATGGCTGTGGATGATGTCATAATTTGTAAGGGAAATATTACTTAGCCATAATAGCATTGAGTAATAGAATCCCTTGACCCTATCTTATACTCTCTCCGGTCCTAAATGAAATTCACACTTACTATTCATTAATCAACTTAAATCACTCTTAATGTTTTATTTTATATATCAAATTTAAATTTTCTTGATCAGACTTTGTAGCGGTTTTAATGTAGTTTCTAAATATGTAAATTTTATTTGCTAAAAATAATCCGAGCGTGAACAGGGATCGAGTTGCTTTATCGTCGTAAACCGTGAGTGAATTTCTTTTGGGACCGGAGGGAGTACATTTTTTTGTAGACAATTATAATTGTCTTCTTAAGTGGATATTTATGGAATAGCAACTGCAGTACTGCACTTCTAAATATTCTTTTCATAATCATAATAGAATTAGGAGTTTGACCATAAAGTAAGTAAAAATGAACTTGAGCTGGGTGTCATTTCTTATGAGTCTGGGCTTGGAATATAAATTTTATATTGAAGATGGGTTAGAAAGGAAGCCATGTGATTGCCCCCAATGTATGGGTATTGAACACAAAACAAAGTTGTGTTAATGTGGGTGTAAATTTGACAATACAGCTTTAACCTTTTGTCTTCAATTTATGGTGGTCAGCTATCACTTCTCTCAATTTTTTACGATTCTTCTACATTTAAGGATGGAGTTGAATATCCTAAAAACGCAGCCCTAAAGTGCAACTTGAGTGCTGCAGGCCTGCAGCTATTATTGCCTCTTTGCACATTCACTTGAATAATTACAATATAAAAGCAGATCAGTTTTCCTATATTTTCCAGCTAATGAAACGTAAAGCTCGAACTAGATTTTACAGATACACTTTACAGAGATTATAGGGTTGATATGCAACTGCTTCATACAATTGTTCTTATGCAGTCAGCTGATTTCTTCAGAGGTGATAATCCTGAAGGCTTGGAGGCACGGAATGAGGTAAATCATCATCATTAATAGGTATTGTGTTTCTGGTAGACTTAGTATGTTCAGTTTACTTTTGACATCGTATTGGTATTCATTTCTAAGTTTTGTTTTGATGTTTTATTACATTTCATTTGGACTTGCTAAATTGACCTTTTCCTTTGCACATAGTTTTAATATATCCCATGCTACTAGGTAGCTGCCCTTGCAATGGAAGATATGATAGCTTGGATGCAAGAGGGTGGCCAGGTAAGCTCTCTATTTTCATAGGAAAGGTCATACAATTATGTTTTGGGGTTTCAATAATGATGGTCCTACTAGAATGCAGGTTGGGGTATATGATGCAACAAACAGCACAAGGAGCAGAAGAAATATGCTTATGAAAATGGCCGAGGGAAACTGCAAGGTACTTATTGGAAATTGGAATTCTCATTTGTGATCCCATTCTGACTGCAAATTTCGGTTGTTCTAAATTCCAAGAGTGGAAAACTTCAATTGAAAATTATTGGGTGAATACCACCATGTAGCTTATAGCAGTAAACCTCTTTTAGGTTGGTGACTTCAGTCCTTAATTATGAGTCTGAACTTCTGAGACAATTCTATTCCCTACTTGTAGGGGATGCAGTATAACTTAAACTTTACGCCTATATCGTAGTATTAGGTTGTACTTAGAAGACCTATTTCAAACTTGAGCATGTTTGGTTGCTGAAAAATTAACGCGAGATTTCGCATGGCTGCTGTAATGTCCGCATTGAGCTCACCAGGGAGCATATTTCCACTTATATTGTAAATTGACATTGTATTACCAATATAATAAAATTAGCAGCTGTAGATTGATTAGAAACAGCTCATTTAGTCGTTGGTTGTACACAGCTAGTTAGGTTTTGTTCATTTGGGGATTCAGAAGATATAATGCATTAGAATCTACTTATTAAAAAAGACCAGATCTTCAATAAGCATTAAATAAGAAAGTAACATATTGTTTTGCTTCACTTACAGATTATTTTCCTGGAAACAATCTGCAATGATCCAAAAATAATTGAAAGAAACATACGTCTCAAAGTTCAACAAAGCCCAGATTATGCTGAAGAGTATGCTTACTGCATTTTGTGTTAATTATAGTAACAAGTTTTGCAAGTATTTATAAAAAATATACTATTCTTATGTCTTCATATGCAGAACAGATTTTGAAGCTGGATATAGAGATTTCAAAAGTCGACTAGATAATTATGAGAAAGTAGTTTTCTTATACATCTTTGTGACTTCTTTTGGTTAAATACATCAGATGAGTGTTGGGCATAATCCAGGATAACTTTTCATTAATTTAAGGTATACGAGTCTGTGGAAGAAGGATCTTATATAAAAATGATTGATATGGTGAGTGGCAATGGAGGGCAAATACAAGTAAGTGAACTATTTTTTTAAATATCTTTCCATTTGACCTTCACCAATACTTTCTTCATCAATACTTTATTCCATTTCACCTTTGGCAATACTAAAGATTTAAAGTTCATTCAATATTTCCTACGTACTTTACAAGATTGAAATTTAAAGAAGATGGTGGAAGGTGTAGGTAACCAGTGTTTTTCTCATTAGAGGCCTTTTGTAGAGGAACAACACTTTGTGAATGTGATATTTATTGTGTGCAAGTGATACCAAATATAGGTATTTAAGGGAAAATTCAAATTTTGCAAGACATGCTGCATTTGTTTGGTTTGCTAATAAGGTTAAGTTTTTCATGAAGCACTGCCGATTTAGAAATTGGATAGATTGAGTTAGAACTTATTCTTTCCGCCTTGAAAAATATGATCTTATTTGATTTTTATGATTTGGTCTAGTCTGAAATCTTTGCTGTCTTATTTATCTGGTATGATGTGATCATGTGAATGTTTATCTTGTCTAATTTTTGATTGAAAATAACATCTGTTCTCACAATGTCTTTGGTCTGATTTGACTAAAATAAGAATAAGTAATTAAGAAAAGGGTAAGGTGAAAAAATATCAATTTAATAATCGTGGAAGCAGATCGTAGCAACACCTTAGCCTGTTACAATGACTACTTGAGTTTTTTTGGGCAATGTATGTTTTGGAAACAAAATATCTTAATATGAAGTACTCGCTAAGACCAATTTTGGGTGCTACACAGTGTTTCTCTTTCAGTAGCTGGAAACAGGTGCCATTTATCAGTCTCTCCACACCACATCGTAGAGGTTGCAAATCACGTACTTTTTCTCATGTGCAGGTCAACAATATTAGTGGTTACCTTCCAGGGCGAATTGTCTTTTTCTTGGTATGCCACTAGTTTCTTTAATCAGCTGATAGTATTTCTTTTAAGTGTCATTTGCTCATCTTCATTATTCTTTGTCCATAACTGCTATTAAGATTTTATACTTTTTATGTTTTTAAAAATTTGGTAAAAAAGTAAAGATGCAACCCTCGGGGCTCACTTTGATATCAAATTATCAAGGAAATTCTTCTAAATCCCATGTGGGACGTTTTGAGGGTCTTTCACTACTTTTACCAAGTAATACGATTTTACTACCTCTAATTTTCTGTATCAAATTTTTATAAGTCAAATTAAATTATTTCTATTCAATAGAACTTGTGATGTAGTTTCTAATAATATAATTTTGAATTTTACTTTAATTTTATTGGGGATAAGTGATAGGCATATGGTGCAGCAGCCTATTCAATAGTTCAATAAAGTCTACAATAGGAGAAATTAGAAGTTTGTTATTAGTTAACTAACTAGTTAGTTAGTTTCAGTTTATCCCTGCCTGGATAATGGCTATAAATAGAAGGGTGATAGCTAAGTAAAGTAGGCTGTTATTTCTGTTGGCTTGAGACTTGGAGACTGGGCATCTCGATTGTCCCTAGCTTGTATAGCTGCTTCGACTTCCTCTTTACTCAATATACTCTTTGCGATCTGTTCTTAGTTGATTTCTATAGAATTGCTACTGTTTATTGAGAATTCTACAAGTGTTCTATCATTGGTATCAGAGCAATTGTTCTGGTGATCAGAATTGTTGTAGTATCACCAGAATTTTGTTTTCGTTCTGAATTTTGAATGGTTCGAACGAGAGCAAAAATGGAGTATCGAATGGAAGAAATGGAGCGTAGTAGGATCGCAACGGAAGAAACACTGATGCACATGAGAACGATGATGGAAAACATGGCGGGTAGGTTGGATGCAATGAGCGATGAGTTTTGAGCGAGTAGAAGATCGCGATCTCATCATCGTCATCATACGCGAACTTCAAACAGTCCAGCAGCTTCAAAAGGTAATTCTGAACACTCGATACCTATTAATCACAGACGACATGAGGATCATAATAGATTTCCAGTTCATACCGGTCGTAAGGCTGATCTACGTATGTTTAATGGGGATGGAGTTTATAATAGGCTAGTAAGGATGGAGAGGTATTTTAGATTGAATCAAATTACTGAAGAGGATAAAGTTGAGGTGTCCATAGTAGCTATGGAGACAGAGCTCTCAACTGGTTCCAATGGTGGGAACATCAGACGGAAGAGAAGAACTGGGAGACTCTTAAAGAGTCGGTTATTCGTAGATTCGAACCCGATCATATGCAAAATCCCTATGGACCTATGTTGAGTTTGAGACAAACCGGTACAGTAAGGGAATACATGGATGAATTTGAGATGATAATAGCACCTCAAAGAACTATGGATAGAGATATCTTGAGAGGAGTATTTATCACAGGATTGAAAGAAGAAATCAAAGTTGGGTTGAAACTGTATAATTCCAGATCATTATCTGAAATTATGGATAGGGCTTTATTGATTGAGAGAAGAAATGAGGCCATCTATTTGAGGAGGCAGGAGGATGACCAATACAGGCTAAACCTCAAAACTGGGGAGAAGGGTATAAGGCAAGATCTGGCAATTCAGGGGTTAGCAATCAGAACAAGAGTAACCAATCTTGGTTTAATCCTGTGGGGAAGAAGGTGACAGAAATAAATCCTTCTGGAATCAGAAGGGTGGGATAACAGCTATCACAAGAAGAGTATCAAGATAGAAGCAGGAAGGGGCTTTGTTTCAAGTGTGGTGAGAAGTGGAATAGGGAACATACCTGCAAACTGAAAAGTTATAAGCTGATACTTGTAGAAGACACAGGGGGATGAAGAATTAGAAGAAGAAGATGTGGTAATTCCAGAAGAAGAGGAGATTGTCATGGAATCTAAGTCCATGCAACTCTCACTCATGAGTAAGGAGGGAATACCTTCCATGAGAGCTTTCAAGGTGAAAGGTTGTTTAAAATGGAAATTGGGAGAAGAAGTAGATGTACTCATTGATAGTTGGGCTACACATAATTTTATATCCCAAAGGATGGTAGACCAACTAAAAATACCCTATAACACTATTACAGGATATAAAGTTCAGATTGGAAATGCTTGGGGCCAAACTGGCTAACAATAGGAGATGTGAGGGATTTACTCTGCTTACATGAGGCAGTAATCCAGCAGGATTTAAGGCAAGATCTGGCAATTCAGGGGTTAGCAATCAGAACAAGAGTAACCAATCTTGGTTTAATCCTGTGGGGAAGAAGGTGACAGAAATAAATCCTTCTGGAATCAGAAGGGTGGGATAACAGCTATCACAAGAAGAGTATCAAGATAGAAGCAGGAAGGGGCTTTGTTTCAAGTGTGGTGAGAAGTGGAATAGGGAACATACCTGCAAACTGAAAAGTTATAAGCTGATACTTGTAGAAGACACAGGGGGATGAAGAATTAGAAGAAGAAGATGTGGTAATTCCAGAAGAAGAGGAGATTGTCATGGAATCCAAGTCCATGCAACTCTCACTCATGAGTAAGGAGGGAATACCTTCCATGAGAGCTTTCAAGGTGAAAGGTTGTTTAAAATGGAAATTGGGAGAAGAAGTAGATGTACTCATTGATAGTTGGGCTACACATAATTTTATATCCCAAAGGATGGTAGACCAACTAAAAATACCCTATAACACTATTACAGGATATAAAGTTCAGATTGGAAATGCTTGGGGCCAAACTGGCTAACAATAGGAGATGTGAGGGATTTACTCTGCTTACATGAGGCAGTAATCCAGCAGGATTTTTACATCCTGGAATTGGGTGGCATGGATTTGGTATTTGGGATGGAATAGTTGACCAGTCTAGGAGATGTAGAGGTCAATTTCCAAAAGCAGATTATCAAGTGGAGAGAACAAGGGATGTTTCAAATGATTCAAGGGGATCCACATCTTAATTCCCTTGAGGTTTCTTTGAAAACCATGACTCAGATTTTACATGACGCAGGGGATGGATATTTTGTTTATTGTGAAGGTCATTTTGTGGAATTGAAAGATGAAGGAGAAGAGGATGAAACCTGGAAACAAGTTCTGGCAGAATTTCCAGAAGTCTCTCAATCCCTGAAGCAGTTGCCACCAAGTAGGGCCTGTGACTATGCAATCCACATCCAGGAATTATCCCAAATATAAGACCCTACAGGTATCCTCAGTATCAGAAAACTGAGATTGGGAGAATTATAAAGGAGATGCTAAGTAAAGGCATAATTCAGCATAGTAATAGCCCTTGCAGTAGCCCTATATTACTGTTGAGATTATAAGGCTCTAAACAAGATTACTGTGCCTGACAAATTTTCAATACCAATCATTGAGGAACTACTGGATGAACTAGGTGGGGCCGTGATTTTTCTAAGCTGGATCTGAAATCTGGTTATCACCAGATCAGAATGAAGGAGGAAGATAGCAGAAAACAGCTTTCAGGACTCATGAAAGGCATTATGAATATTTGGTGATGCCCTTTGGTCTGACCAATGCACCTTCCACCTTTCAGGCTCTTAGATGGGGTTGGAGACTTGGAGGTTTTGTTGAGATTATAAGGCTATTGTATTAGCAGTCCAAAAATGGAGACCATATTTACTAGGAAGAACTTTTGAGGTTCACACTGATCAAAAGAGCTTGAGATTTTTGACTGAGCAAAGATAAATGGGGAGAGAACAACAAAATGGACTTCCAAGTTACTGGGATACAATTTTACTATAAATTACAAACCAGGGGTGGAAAATAGAGCTGCAGATTCCTTATCCAGAAGACCATTCTTAAACTCCTTATCCATTGTCACTTACCCAATTGTCTCAGTGAAGAATAGGAGTTACAGGTGAGACCTGGAGAAGTGCTGGACTCAAGGTTGAACAAAGAGGGAAAGATGGAAGTCTTGGAACACTGGAAAGATTTACCAAAGATTGAGGATTCTTGGGAATCATTACTAATAATACTAATAATAGAAGGGGAGCGAAGGAAAATAGATAGGCAAGTATTCGGTTGAGAATATGATAGTAACAATTCGCAATCCACAATATACAATACGAACTTGAAACAATCCACAAACTTCATTAATGGCGGTATACAATACAATAGTCCCAAAGCTAGAGATAAGACTCTAACTTCCCAGTCCCAAGCCAAGCATCTAACAGACTCCCTAACTGCTAACTGGTTTATTCTATTTATAGTCCCCTCTCCATACTAAAAGTAGTTAATAGTTCATAACAACTACCCGCCTGCCAAACAACTAAAATACTTCTTCTTTCTAGAATAGACTAAACCATATCTATTCTTATTATTTGTAATAGCCGGAGTCCTAACAATACTCCCCCCCCAAAGAAACAAGCTTGTCCTCAAGCTTGAAGTCTGGAAATTGTGTCTTCAACACTTGAGCATCTTCCCAAGACCTTTCAAATTCTGGCAGATCTTCCCAATGTATCAAAACTTCAACTCTGCCATTTGTTCCCTCTCTGGTATCCACCACCTTCTCTGGTTTCACCAACAATTCCCAGTTTTCATTCAAACATTTAGGCAATGATTGGAAGCTAGAGCCTTTTTGAGTAAAGAAATATGGAATACTGGGTGGATCAGGCAATCATCTGGCAATTTCAGTTTAAAAGCTACAACATTCACTTTCTCAATGATCTCAAAAGGTCCATAAAATCTTGGACTCAATTTCTGATTGATCCTCTTAGCCAAACTCTGCAACTTATAAGGCTGCTTGCTGCTTCATCTTATTCTGGGCAATAGCTAAATTTTCTTTGAGTTCAGCTAACATTCCATTCCTCTCAGCTGTCAGTCTTGCCACTTCATCATTAGCAGTCATAACCACATCCCCTTTTATAATTGGTTGAGGTTCTTGCCCATATAAGGCCTGGTAAGGGGTTTGTTTTAAGGAAATATGGTAATTAGTATTGTACCAATACTCTGCCCAAGGTAACCACTTGTTCCATTCCTTAGGTTTCTTCCCTGTGATACATCTCAAATAGGTTTCTAAACACCTATTCACAACCTCCGTTTGGCCATCTGATTGAGGGTGATACGCAGTACTGTATCTCAACTGTGTGCCAGCCAGTTTGAATAACTCAGACCAAAAAGAACTCAAGAAAATGCTGTCTCTATCACTCACTATGGATTTTGGAAATCCATGGAGTCTCACTATTTCTTTGACAAAGATTTCAGCAACTCCTTTAGCATTAAATGGATGAGACAAGGCTATAAAATGTGCAAATTTGGTTAGTCTGTCAACCACAACCAGGATAGTGTCTTTCCCTTGAGCTTTTGGCAAACCACCAATACAATCCATGCTTATATCTGTCCAAATGCAATCTGGAATAGGTAACGGTTGTAACAACCCCGCAGGTTTCAAAGCTTGATACTTGTTTCTTTGACAAACATCACAATTCTGCACATATTGCTGAATCTGCTTCCTCATACCAACCCAGTAGAACAATGTTGAGATCCTCTTCATAGTTCTGAAATTGCCAGAATGTCCTCCTGTTGCAGAATCATGATATTCCATAAGAATCCTTGTCACTCTAGGAGAATTTTGGGGTATCATCAGCCTTCCCTTGTAGTATAACAACCCTTTCTTCAATCTGAAATCCACCATTTGATCCGGATGACTTAGAATCTTCTGAATAGTATCAGCACATTTTGGATCTTCCAGCAGTTCATCTTCTAATCCTTCCCATTCCTGACAATTTACAATTGATAAGGCTGACAAATTTGATTTCCTTGACAGAGCATCTTCAGCTTTATTCTCACATCCAGGTTTATATTTAATGATAAAATTGTATCCCATAAGCTTGGCAATCCACTTTTGTTGATCCTCTCCCATGATTCTTTGCTCAGTCAAGTATTTGAGACTTCTTTGATCAGTGTGAACCTCAAATTTCCTACCTAGTAAGTAGGGCCTCCATTTTTGGATTGCAAACACAATTGCCATCAACTCCTTTTCATAAACAGATTTACTCAAATGTTTAGGTGCTAGTTCCTTGCTCAAAAATGCAATGGGACCCCCATCTTGCATAAGTACTGCCCCTAACCCCCTTCCAGATGCATCAGTTTCTACTACAAAAACTTTATTGAAGTCAGGGATTCTCAACACTGGTAAAGAAGACATAGCATTCTTCAATTCCACAAAAGCTTTAGTAGCCATATCACTCCATTTAAACCCATCCTTCTTCAACAATTGTGTTAATGGAGCAGCAATGTGACTATAGCCCTTGACAAACCTCCTGTAGTATCCAGTAAGACCCAAAAAACCCCTCAACTCCTTTAAATCTTTTGGTACACCCCATTCTACCATGGCTTTAGTTTTACTAGGGTCAGCTGCCACCCCTTCTGCAGAAATAATATGACCCAAATAACTCAGTTGCTCCTGACCAAAGGAACATTTCTTTTGATTGGCTACTAAATCATTCTTCTTTAAAGCTTCCAGAACTAATTTGAGGTGTTCTTTATGATCCTCCTTGGTTTTGCTGTAAACCAGTATATCATCAAAGAATACCAATGCAAATTTCCTGAGGAAAGGTCTCAAAACCTCATTCATTAGAGCCTGAAAAGTGGAAGGTGCATTAGTCAACCCAAATGGCATGACTAGGTACTCATAATGACCTTCATGTGTTCTGAAAGCAGTCTTACAGGTGTCACTCTCCTTCATTCTGATTTGGTGGTAACCTGACTTCAGATCTAGTTTAGAAAAAACCACTGCTCCCCCCAATTCATCTAGCAACTCTTCTATAACTGGTATGGGAAACTTATCAGGTATAGTGATCTTATTCAAGGCTCTATAATCACCACAAAATCGCCAACCACCATCTTTTTTTCTAGCCAATAAGATAGGACTGCTGTAGGGACTGTTGCTGTGCTTAATGATACCTGTTTTTAACATTTCACCAATTACTTTCTCTATCTCATTTTTCTGATCAAAAGTGTACCTGTAGGGCCTCAGATTTTGTATACTAGCTCCTTCTTGGATGTTTATGGCATGATCACAGTCTCTAGCAGGAGGAAACTTCAATTGATCAGTAAACACCTCTGGAAATTTAGCAATGATGTCCTCCCAAACCTTGACTTCCTTAGTATTCTGTTCCAAACCATACAATTGCCCTCCATAATACAGACAGTATCCATCCCCTTCTTTCTGCAGAATCTGAAGCATAGTCTTCATTGGAACCTCCCAATTATTCAGTGCAGCTTCCCCTTGGATACAATTTATCCTATCTTGTTGTTTCCATCTTATCACTTGCTTCTGAAAGTTCACTTCCATGTCTCCTAACTCAGTCAACCATGCCATACCCAAAACAATATCTGTGCCACCCAATTCCAGTATATAGTATGATTGATGTATGTTATTCCCTTGCACTTCCAGCTTCATTCCATCACATCTGCCATTATTATGGATGAGATCCCCATTGCCAATCTGCACTTTCACTCCTTGTATAGGCATAAAAGGTACTTCCCATCTGTCAATGAAACCCTGCGCTATGAAGTTGTGTGTTGCCCCACTGTCAATCAGAATGTTCACAGGTTGTTTTCCATCATCCCAAATCAACATACCTTGCACCTTGAATGTTTTCATGGATGGAATACCCTCCTTACTTAAAACAGAAAGTTGCATTGTTTTAAGTTGTTTGTGAGTATCATCCTCTTCTCCCCATTCCATTAATTCTCCTTCACATTCATCTTCTCCTTCAGAATGCTCCACTAGAATCATCTTATAGTTCTTCATTTTACAGATATGACCCTTGCCCCAGTCCTCTCCACATTTGAAACACAAACCTCTCCTACTTCTTTCCTGCAGCTCACTCCTGGATAACCTGGGACCTGATTTACTCATATTAGGTGCCTTAATGTCAGTATTGCAGTATTGCTTCTGTAATCTGAATTACTCTTTGGTAGGTTAGAGTTACTGTTCGTAATATTTTTCCATTTGCTTCCCTCACCCCAAATTGCTTGATAATTTGAGCCATTGTTCTTACTTAGCCCCCTTTTCTTCCCTTCCTCTCTGTTCTTCATCAACATTGCTTCATTATTTTTGTTCTCAATAAGAGAAGCTTGGCCCATGAGTTCAGCTAAGGTTCGTGTAGTATACAACTTCAGCTCAGCCCTGATATCTCTTCTCAGTCCCTTAAGAAAAACACCTTTCAGAACCTCCTCGGTTAAATGTCCCTGGGACGCTATGGCTGTTTCAAACTTGTCTCTGTACTCCTTCATAGTTCCTCTCTGCTTTAAGCTAAACAACGGTCCTAATGGATCTTGTACCAGCTCTGGTTGAAAGCGTGTAGTCAAATCTTTCGTAAATGTCTCCCAATTCATATGGCGAGTCTGGCCTTCCCACCATTGGAACCAGCTAAGTGCCTGGTCCTCCATCGCCAGAACTGCAAGGTCAATTTTGTCACGCTCATCAGTCTGATTCAACCTGAAATATCGATCCATCCTCATCAACCAACCAAAGGCATCCTCTCCGTTGAAAATCGGTAAATCGATTTTCCTTCCAGCTTTATTAGGATTCCGATGTTGATTATGTCGCTCGCGATCCTGATGCGAGCCAGAGTGATCGGAATTGGTTTCAGAACCTTCCGAACTATCATCACGCTTCGTCTGTTTCCTCTGTGATGATCGACGCGAAGAGTTCGATTGGTGTGAACGACTTCGTGATCTATCCGAGTTTCTGTTCTGCATTTTCGCTAGATTAGCTTGCATCGTGGCCAACGCGGTAGTGAAATTTGACTGCATCTCTCTCAAATTTCTCTCCATGCTAGCTTGCATCTCCTGCTGGCTCCTTTCAATTTCCGTCAATCTGCTTTCCATCTTTGCGCGCGTCACGGTCATCCAGCGATCAAACACGCTCTGATACCAATGATAGTAACAATTCGCAATCCACAATATACAATACGAACTTGAAACAATCCACAAACTTCATTAATGGCGGTATACAATACAATAGTCCCAAAGCTAGAGATAAGACTCTAACTTCCCAGTCCCAAGCCAAGCATCTAACAGACTCCCTAACTGCTAACTGGTTTATTCTATTTATAGTCCCCTCTCCATACTAAAAGTAGTTAATAGTTCATAACAACTACCCGCCTGCCAAACAACTAAACTACTTCTTCTTTCTAGAATAGACTAAACCATATCTATTCTTATTATTTGTAATAGCCGGAGTCCTAACAGAATAGGCTTGGAGACTGAGCATCTCGAATTGTCTGAGGCTACGAATTCCTTCTGTAAACTACTATTCACATCAATAAAGATTTCTTGATCAGTTTCTTGATCAATTCTTCCTAATTCTCTACCGTTCTGAGCCGGATTTACTGGTGTTCTATCTTTGGCATATCGAATTGTCCCTAGCTTGTATACCTGCTTCGACTTCCTCTCTACTCAATATACTCTTTGCGATCTGTTCTTAGTTGATTTCTATAGAATTGCTACTGTTTATTGAGAATTCTACCAGTGTTCTATCAATAAGTTAACTTTTTCATCGGTCAAACCTCAAAATCCGCAATGGGGCTATCAAATTGGGACGGAGGGAATACCTATTCAGTAGTACAAATATTAATAGTCATATTTGGAATTTGGGAAACTGATACAGAGTATATTTTAGTGGCAGTCTGGGAATGTTGGCTTCATGAAATAGCGAGTATACTGAAATAGAACTCATGTAGCTTTACTTTTAGTTAGCCAGCATATATTTGATACCAAAACTCGGTCTAGCTCTCTCTCACTTACATTGTCTTTCATCCACATCACCCAACAGTATATCAAAGTTGATCTCCATTCATAAAATTAAAAATGTTGTGCTGCATGGATATGGAAAATTTGACTATATTCAGGACTCGTATTCAACTACCAATTGAAAAGAGGTTCACAATTTGACTATGCAGGTAAATACACATCTGACACCCCGACCAATATTGCTTACAAGACATGGAGAGAGCCTAGACAACGTAAGAGGCAGGATTGGGGGTGATACTGTTATAAGGTGCTTTCTCAGTCCGCATTGTAAAATATTTCTTGGTATGCATCCTAGTTTTATCCAACAAATTGACTGCTACAGTTTAAGAGAAGGCCACAAATTGTGCTTAAACAGTTAAACCCACTACTCGTGCTAAATTTCTAAATGTTACTATTCTACTTTCAATCATATAGAATTGTTGACAGTTATTCATTCAAAACTAAAAGTTCTGGGGACAGTTATTTCAATCAAAACAGTTATTCATTATTCTGGGGACACCCCAAAACGAGGTGTGACCAATAAAAGGGGGGCAGAGGGAGTACTTTTTTCTTCTATTACTCCTTTCCACAATTGTAGCATATAATGTTTTTGAAATATACTTTGCCTTGTTTCTTCAGATGGCAATGCCTTCCGTTCTGGTTTGAAACAATATGTTTATTAACCTTTAAAAAGCAATGTCCTTTTAACACCCTAAACCCACTTTTCTTGAAGGAAAGTGATTCCTTCAGGAGTCTGTTGCATGTCCATTTGTTGTATACTTGTATGTGTTGTTTTACTTACTGTTATGTTTCCATTTGACTCATGTCTAGATTCAAGTTTTGCATCATAAAAACTGCAACTTGGTTCATGCAGCTCTTTGGTTAACAGAGCTTACTGTTTAGCACTGACACATGCTGGTCAAATCTTTTCTTTTAACAGTGATAATGGGAAGCTCTACTCAAAGAAACTTGCAAATTTTGTTCAAAAGCGACTGAAAAGTGAAAGGGCTGCTTCTGTAAGTTAAAAATCAGTCTGCTATACAAGTGGACTTTATGTTTCTTCATTTGTATTGTTTTGGTGTGAGAGCTTGCATTTGACCTGCTGGTTAGCTAATCGCCTAATACTTCTTACATGCCTTAATAACTCACTTCTACATTTTATGGGTGTCCCAACTCCCAAATAAACTTTACCTCTTCCTTTAAGGAAAGGAATGTAAAAAAATCTCAATCTCACAATCGCCATTATTTTTATACACATGTAAAAAAGTTTATCAAGGGATATGAGGAAGTAGCTCTCTGTAATCGTCCTAAGAATGTGGTTATACTGTTATAGAATGTATCTTGTACAGTGATTTTCATTTGGATACTATAAGGAATTCACTTTATATGTTTACTTTCAATATTAAATGACTCTACCTAGGCACCAACTCAGATGTCTTATCTGTTAATTGCACTTGCGCAGCTGGATTCTTAACTAGCATGCATAAGCACATTAATGATGAAGCGTGTTTCTTGATTTCTTTAAGAACCATCTCTAAAAAAGGTGGAAGTCCGATAATTTCCTTATAAGCTTATACTATATGGATGAGAGTATGGCTTTGGAGAGAGCAAAGTGGAGGACGCACATCCATGTGGACGATTGATGTCTTGTCTACCTTTCCTCTCTTGTTTCTTTTATCGTTTATCTTCCTTATCTTTTTATATTCTTATGTTATTTTTATCTTCTAGCCTTTTTATGCTCTTTTATTTATTTTTCTTTTATCTTGGTTATATTCTTGTGTTATTGTTATCTTATATTTATGTATCTTTATTTTATTCATTTTATCTTACTTTTTTTCCTTTTCTTGTCCGCCTTCTCTTTTTGGCATCGATATCATAGATCGATTCATGTTAGCCGACCCCAAATTCTTTTGGGATTAAGGCTTGGATGTTGTTGTTGTTGTAAGCTTATATTATATGGAAACAAATATACATTTAAACCTACTTTACTTCCAAGGTTCTCTTAAGGAAGCCATAGTATGTTGAAGACAGACCATCTGCTTCTCTGCTTACGCTTTAGCATGCTGAAGTCAACTAATTGGACTATTTTATTAAATCTGATATTGGTTTGATTGAATTCTGTATGTGGTGATTCAAATATGAAGGAAAATAGATCTAACCTTTATTTTATGCTGCACAGATATGGACAAGCACATTGCAGAGAACAGTTTTGACAGCTAGCTCAATTGTTGGATTTCCTAAGGTTCGCATGTCTAAAAAAATTCCCTTTTATGTTGTTCTATTCTAAAAGTAGTTATTGACTATAGAGATTTGTAATTCAAATTACTTCAAATATCTACTTGCAGATACAATGGCGTGCCCTTGATGAGATAAATGCTGGTGTATGTGATGGAATGACATATGATGAAATAAAGAAGAATATGCCTGAAGAATATGAGTATGTTGTAACTATTTATTAGGTCTACTTTGTTTGCTTGTAAATTTGTAATCCCCTAGTAGTTGTGATCTCTTTCCATTAAAGGTTTTTTGATGATTTTTTTTTTTCAGGTCACGCAAAAAGGACAAACTAAGATATAGATATCCACGGGGAGAATCTTATCTAGATGTTATCCAAAGGTGTAGTGTCTTTTAATCTCCAAAGTCTTGTGAATATATTTTCCTAGCCACTTGTTTGGCAGGACACTTTTGGAGGGGAGGAGTTGCTTTTGTTTGGTTGGGAGAGGAATGTGGAGTTGTGGCCATGCTAGGCCCAGGCCCACCCCAAATTTCAATTTTTTTAAAATATTAGGGTAAAAGATATTCATTTAAAACATTTTCCAAAAATATTCTTTGTACCAGCCCAGCCCAGCCCAATATACCGCCCTGACTACGCCCCTGGTCATGCTCTAAACTATTCATATCTCCCCTCCCATTGGAGGATTTTAGTGGACTGATTTTTATTTATTTCCCCCCCTTTTTAGTAAAACAATGATCTGCCTTTTTTAATTACAACAAGAGTATATCAAGGACAAGTTCAATGCTTTTAAATATTCTTGTAAAATTCCAATTTGTCCTCACTCCATTGCACCAAACATAATACCACATATTATTTAGCTCTTCCATTTTGCTTACCTCTCCTCCGCTCTTTGAGCCAAATACAGCTTAGAGAACCATTCTTGCTTAATATAAACTCCATTGTATGCTTGTAGGTTAGAGCCTGTGATTATAGAGCTTGAACGACAAAGAGCCCCTGTTGTTGTGATATCTCACCAAGTAATGAATGTCTTCATCAAGTTTGTTTTCTCTCTACTTCCAACTTCTGGATATCATACTTGAAAAACTAACTACATTCGAAATTTTATAGGCGGTATTGCGAGCTTTATATGCTTATTTTGCTGATCGACCACTTAACGAAATTCCACACATAGAGGTAATTGTTTAATGATTTCTTCGTGAATCACGTCTAAATTACAACCTAAACAGTAATACATATTTTGATCGGGGATTAACAATTATGTTCATTCTTGGGGTTACAATTGTGTGACAGTGATGCTCTTTGTGTTAATCCATCAACTGTTTGTGATGTGAGATTTTTGAACGAATGAACTGTTTGGCTGCAATTTAAAACTGCAGGTTCCACTTCACACCATAATAGAGATTCAGATGGGAGTGACGGGGGTCCATGAGAAACGGTATAAACTAATGTGATTTATTCGTTGGTGTGAGACTTTGGTTTCCAACTTTCTTTCTTTTTGTTTTTCGATTGATCAAGTGTAACATAAATAAATTATACAAAGTAGTATTCGGGTGTAAAAGAACAAAAATAATCAAAAGTGATATACGTTTACATATTGCGCCATTGCTGTCGCACCCAATACTCGCACCTTTAGTGGTAAACATACACTTTTCAAATGAACTAGACAAACTAGTAGTAGAAATTAAACTTACTCCAACCTTGCTACCACATTTTCACCTCTTTCTATTTCTTAACTCTTAATTTACAAGTCTAGTATCTTGTGGTCTGATATCATCAGACGCTCCCAATGAGGAAGACACAAATTGAACTTCATTCCAGTTCAAGTAAGTTGACCTTAAGATGGAACAAATATTATACTAGTAATAAGTTAGAAAACTCACCGAGAAAAACTCTTGATTTACAATATAATGCACCTTATTCGTTCTCATTTTCCACTCGAGAATAATTGTTATTTGATCTAATAGACACATAGATGCAATGTATTGTTTATTCGCCTCCTTTAATATGAGTGCAGCTTGGTAGACTCGGGCCTTGACTTAATAACAAGCAATAGTTTCTTAACCTCTTAGGTAGCTTTTTCACTCAGGTTTAACTCCCACCTATGTTACCCGGACTCCTTAGGCCAAGTTGTTATTCTTGTAGGATATGCTGATGGTGAAACATGTCAATGTCCAAAGTGTGAAAGGTCCTCTGCGTCTTGTAGAGTTTATAGTCATAATCCATGCATGTGTAGCAGCGACTTGTTTGTATTACTTGTAGGGTTAACTAATTTATGGTTAACTAATATGTTTACAAGACAATTAGGCGTACCATAATGACGGTTAATCAGCTAATATTTAACCACAACATAGGTTAACCGTTAATTGGTTAACCAAAAAACCAATTCAGGATAACAATTTTCAGCATACTTCTCTCAAAAGTACTCGTATATGAAACCTAAGTCGGAGGCTGAACAAGCTTACAGTTCTCAGCGGCCAAGGTAAACTGAGTTCTGGGGGTGGTTGGCGGCGGTGAATTGGGGAAATGTGAAGAAGATCGAGATGAACCGGGTGCGGTTGTAATTCTTGGACCATTCCAATGAGCAAACCCTCACGTTTGCATCTGCAGGCTAAGCCCATACTAAATCCCAAATCATCGCTGGCTCCAGTACGGGAAGCCTTGCTGCTGTTTTCTTCCAGAAATGAGACATGTTTATTTGCACGCGTTCATCAATTTGAGGCTATTCGGATAATACTTCAGCACCAGTGTTAACCGACCATATTTGATTTTAAAATCCTAAGAGTACTGTTAACCGCTTTTTTATTTTGGTTGGTTAACCGTACTGTAAGTTTTTAAAAACATGGCATTGTTAACCAAAAAAAGTAATGGTTTTTTGGTTATTCACCACGGTTAATCGTTTATGGTTTTTTATGTCCACTCCTAATTTGCTACATTGTTCTAATCGTTATTGTATGAGGTTGACGAGGCAAAGTTGAACCCAACAACTTGGGCAATCCAAATTCAGTATGTGAGACCCAATTCTTCTGAATCTGACCCAAGGTCCTTCCGTCTCAATTTCTAAATCCCGACAAGTGTAGGCTTAAGATGTCAAAATATATCAGTACATACATGCATGCAATCCCTAAAGATTGAATTAATATTTTGAGATGGAAAGTGCTTGTTGAACTTGAATATGTATGTAAAGGTGTTTCAAATTAAAACTCTCTATGCAGACCCTTAGTATTTAAATGAGACTAAAATTATTTATTAAACTCAGACATTGATGATGACGATAGAGAAAGAGACAATGATTTAGCCACTTCTTCTTCCTCATTATTATAATCCAAACTCCTTCTTCTCTTACAATATAACACGTTTCTATTGAAATTATCATCTTGATGATCTCTCATAGCCACCAGCTCCATGCTCAACTTCAAATCAATCCCGTTATCTCCCACGACTTTCTTCTCATTTGTTGCTCCAGAATTGTTCCAACTTCTGAATGGGGAATAAGAAACTCCATTCACAAAGTTTCTCATCATTAGCTTTATATTCTGTGCATGTAACTGGTCATGCACCGATCCTGTAGTAATGTCATGTTCTCTACTATTTAAATTTATCATATTGTTCCTTGAAGATATCCAGTTTACATTGTTTCTGCTTCTAGGGAACCTGTGAAACATATATTAATATATGTAGCCCCATATGTTCAATCTTGAACATTTACATATACATCGGCTTAATATAATTAAATAATGGTGAGATTCATACGAATATCCCTACTTCATAGATTCTACAATATTAGTTTGTACACAAAGTTTTCAAATTCGCTACCCCACTTTCACATTCGCTACTCTTCTTCTGAGTTAACACTTAGCTAATACACAATATCTATCATCTCTTATTTTCTTACCTTTCTTGATCCATATCGACTTTCTTAAACTAAGCAATTAAGTTTCCTTTCTTCCTCAAATTTTTATTCTTTTCTGGCCATGAATTTTGTTAAGCCTCTTAATCGCATCCAAGGATTTTAGGGGCTGTAAGATTCCAACAAATCCAAAATACATTAGAAATTGTATGTTTTCAAACAGTGGTAAAAAGAACAAGAACATATTTTTTAAAATCTCACTTGCTAAGTCACCTTAAAAGGACGGATTGGTAATGGACTAGCTAACATAAATCTCATATGATCTTTTCTTGTGGACGTTGAGTTGAGATTATTTTTTATAATTTATAATATTCCAAGTGTGGATTATTATTGTTATATTGTAGAATCGCTGAAGTATACTTTACCTTAAATAATTGAAGAGTTTAATAATAGTCAATCATCAAATAACTTTTTGGTATTACTTGAGTAATTATTTGTTAGCATTGAGATCAACATACGCATGCTTTGATTACCTGAAGTTGGATGTTATTCTTTGATCAAACGCAGGTAATTGCCACAGGTTTTGTTGAAGATTGTTTGCAGTCGATATAGGATAGATTGTTCCCTCGTTTATCACTAATTAACAATTTAGTCAAAGAAAATCATAAGTTAGTCTTAATTAAGTACCTTATTACTAGGATGTGTTTATTAGTACTCCGTATAACATAGTTACAGTTTGTGACTTGACTATTTTTGGCCAAATTTTAAAATACCAATCTAAGTAAAAATATTCATACTTATGAGCAAACAAGAACAATAACTTAAAGTAGTGTTTTCCCCTAATCTTTATGATAACATGCATTATATTGTCATATGGTGGAATTCATTACCGCACTCATATTTACTTTCTTTTAGAAATTAAAATGCTAATAAAATCCGGAGTTAAATCCAAAACCTTAAGATGGAATTAATTAATTAATTAAACATGAACCTTCTACGTACCTTGACTTCAACCTACAAGGGTACGACACCACACATGCAATTGTTCACTTCTTTCCCGTTTTAATATTCTTCGAATATAATCATAGTTATAGACTTTAAAGTCCCCTCATTTAACGACTATATAAGCCATTCCTGGGAACTTGTATTTTGTTTTTAAATAGTCAACGAATTAGACAAAGTCAAAAAATCCAAAACATAGCCAAAAAACAAGTTACTAAAATATTCTCCAAAAAAAATTAAACCATCCAATATTCTCAAAAAAATCAATGGTGTTACAACTTTAAATAAGTATTAAATATTTACGAATATGAGAAAGTTAAAAATAGATACCATAAAATAAAGGATTCTTGGAAATTTGATCACATTCTAAAAAATTGGGTTTTTAATAAAAAAAATACGCTTCCATATACGGTCGTTACGTACACACAATAAGATAATATTACTGTCTATTAACTAATTTCGATCAGAAGTGTATTTGAAAAAAATTGAAGATTTTTAAAACCAAAGGTTTACTTTTAACTTTTCCTAAAAATATAAATATTTACAAAATCGGTTAAATTTTTAAACGTTTTATATTTAAATAAAAGTCATTCTAAATTTCATAAATGTAATATTTTGCAATACTATTAAAGATTTTGTTGTTGCTGAATATTGCAAAATATTATACGCGCGCCATAATCGCGCATGTTGCAAATAATATGATCAACCTCCTATGAGTAAAGTAAAAAACTAAAGACTTTATATATATGTGTGTACCCATATTCTAATAAGCATTAAATGTGTGATGATTTAAAACTTATTCTGAAGAAAGGAGAGATTGATTGAAGTCATTTTTTCTTACCTTGTCCCTGGCCATCAACATTCTTGCTCCTGTACATCTGTTGAAAACAAAGACAAACAAATTTAAATACTTCACATACAAAATCAATGATTGAAGATTGATCTTGAAAGCCAGTAACCTAAGTAAACAGTAATATAGTTGAATTTATAGATAAGTTAAAAACTTTATGTTCAATTGATTCAGATCCTAATAGTTTCATATATCATCATATACATACAAAATTAAAATTCAGATCAAGACCTGCAAATGGCTCTTGACATGAGCAATGCTTAGTCCCTCAACGTTCATTAGCTTCAAAACCAGCTTGGGCGTTGCCCCTACATACCACCCCCACCGGATTGTTATTAAAAATGTGAAAAACAAAGAAAATATATAAGAAATACAACTATTATAATGTCTAAAATGGGTCAATTAATTAGAAAAAATGTTATATATATGTTTATGTCTATTATTAGTTTTTTAACTTGCCGATATGTCTTCAACTAATAAGTTTGTCCAAATTAAGCCTTTTCCACCAGAATGTAATATTCCTTGCAAAATAGCCCAACAGAAAATTTGACTCTAATATGAAATAAATAATATGTATTCTGGTGAAAGAGTTCTTCATATAAAGTGATTAGTTATGAACACAAGCATGCATAACAGCATAAGTGTTACGAGACTAAATAAGTATCTCGATCAATAATCCCTCCTACATACTTTCTTGACCTCCGAGACGCTGCACAGCATGGACAAAGCTAAGATGAAGATCATGAGTCCACCGTAACCTTGGAACTTTGGATCTCACGTACTGTCGTACTACCCCACCGCTGCTACCATTACCGTTACCGTTATTCTGAGATGTTGATCCTAACCTCATCATTGTCTCCTTCTTGTTGTTCTCAGTCTCCTCATGATCATCATCGATCCCGCTATCATTGGTTGATGAGCTCCGACTCGCTTTCGGATCCATTGTATCTTCTTCCCCATGATATTCATCCAAAGGGGTCATGTTTAAGTCAACACAGATCTCGCTTTCCACCATCTTCTCTTTTCTATGTGTGATAACTTCAAGTTTCGAGAGAGCAAGAGCAGCTTACTTAAGATAAATATTGCTGGTTATCCCTACCTTATATGTATCCAAAAGATATATATATATATATATATATATATATATATATATATATATATATATATATATATATATATATATATATATATATATATATACATGATTTATCTCAAACCCTATATATACTTAGTAATTAGTATTTAGCTAGCTTCCATTGTCTTAGTTAGGGAGTAATAAGCAATTAAGAAGTATGTAGTTATGGGCTATGTTTGTCAAAATGAGTTAGAGCTTAATGCTAGTGTCCTTTTGTTGGAGCTATACTTGGTAGGGGCTCTGAACCTGAAACCTTAGCGGAAAGAAATACAATTGCTTAGCTTGATGAAAATTTCGAAATGACAATTGAAAAAATGTAAATTATACAATTATGCTTAAAAGTTTTCTTAAATATTACTGAAATGAAAGTTTGGTACAGTAATTTAAAGGTACTACTATACTAACTACCTAAATGTATAAAAAGTCATATTTATATTCATTACCTACATCTTACATACATCCCGTTTGGTAATATCCAAATCGGCTGTATTGGCCGATTCTGCTGAAATTTATGAAATTCTGGCTATAGTGGCTGTATTGGCTGATTGTGTTGATTTATGAAAAAATTATATTTAAAATATATTTTATTAATAAAATAAAGAAAAAATTATATGAAAAAATAACTAAATGATCATCAACGATAACTTCAGCCAATACAACCAGAAAAGTAACTCAAACCTTACTTTTCTTATTATTATACAATTCAGCGCGCGAAATCAAAAGTTACGTGTTTAGTGAAAAAGTTGACTGATAAGCCTATAAGCCGAAAATCAGGGTTACCAAACGGGCTCTTATATGTTTGTCATTTTTTTAACGGGATCAAATCAGTTTCTTTTAGTCTCTAGTTTAATTTTGAGTATTATCAATTCATTATTAAATTCAATTTTTTTTATCTCAATAGAACATTAGTAAATCTTTGCATTTGTTAATTTTGATCAAAATATTAACATAAGAGATTCAACTTTATCATCATTCAAATTTAAATAACTACTTTTAACAAATCTTTTGGAACCGATGAAGTAACAACTTTTTATAAGAAATCTTCAATAAATTAAAGTTGAGAACTATGATACCCAATTAAAAATGGGGTACTGTACCTAACATTCATTTGATTGGATCAATGCATTAAATCGCTTTTAATTTTCATTTAAATATACTTTGATTGGTCTATATTAAAGTAGGGAAAGTTCCCGAAATTGGACTAAAACAGTTTTAAAATTCCAAAATAGGACTTTCATGTTTTTATTCCCAAAATAAGACTAATTACTGCCATGTTTTGGCAATACCAGACTTCAAACATGGCAATATTTTCTAAACATGATAGTAATTAGTTCTATTTTGGGAATAAAAAACATGACAGTCCTATTTTGGAATTTTGAAACTATTTTAGTCCTATTTCGGATAATATCTCATAAAAGTATGATACTTATGGGTACCATAGAATCTACCTAAATTAAATTGCATATATTATAAGCTAGAAAGCCTAAAAACAATATTAGGAGCTCGTTCATTTCGTACTATACTTGAATGAACGGAATTTGAGTTCCATGAGAAATAATAAGGGAATTATTTAATTCCATTTACTGTAGCTATGCTCGGTATATACTCTAACCCAAATTGGGTTGCAAATTGATTTTTTTAGTCGATTTTATTCACTTAATTAGGATATCAATTCTTAGTTAAATTTTAATTTGGATTTTACAACTTTAAAGAGATTTTTTAATGTAGTTTCTAAATATGTAAATATTAATTATTAAAATTGAATTAATTATCTATAGAGAGGGTTTAACTTTAACATTGATTGAACAAAAATGGTTGACTTTAACATTTAACCATTTAGAATGAAGGTAATATAACATGTGTTCACTTACCTTGATGAACTAATTCTTTCAGTGCAACACATCATTCCTACGATATATATGTGGCGGTGCACATATATATCGTTTAGATCTTAACCATTTTGACCTAGGAAAAAATTATCAAAATTAAACTAAATCCTACTCTGGATAATGTATACCTGTTTTCAAATTATGATAATACACGTTACGTTTTCTGTTAAGATTTTAATTAATTACTTTTAGATGAAGGATTTAAATTAATTATTATTTCTTTTTGTTTGAGAAAATAGGTCTTATTTTTGGAAAAGAAAGTAATGAGGCATTTTTCTTATATATTACTTCGTACTAATAAGAAGATCATGGACAAAAATAGTACGGAGTACTTAATAACTATTAGTGATTATAATTATGTTCAAATTAAAGGTTATTTAAATTACATGTAATTTTTATGATGTAAATTACAGATTTGTCATCCTGAAAAGGTTGGCCAAAGTTGAGTTTCACGTGCATTAATAAAGTAAAAATTATGTGGTTAAAATTTGTGTAGAGGAGAGAAAATTAATTTTAGCCACATATTCCTTACTTTAAATGGATATGACAGATCTCTTTGGGACATCCAAAAAGGGAAATTTGGTCAACCTTTTCGGAACAGAGTGAGTAGTTTTCTCTTAAATTATTGTAATTATATACTACGTATGATAATTATAATATACTACAGAGTAGGTGACAAAGTTGCATGCATGCCAAACATAACCCTAACATAAACTCTTAATTTCTGAATAACCTTGACTTAGTCTTGTTTCGACATACCTAAGGGCTAAGCTAAGCTAAGGCTGCTTAAGTGCTTCCATCGTCGTCATTGCCCATTTTTTCCTACAAAAAAGAGAGCGAAATTGTTGTTTTAGCCTATACAGTGAGATAATAGAGGGGTGTGTGGATATTTTCAAATAAGGGAGACGTACATTAATGGAAGGTGGAAACAAGAATATGGAAAAGCCAAAGCTAGCCCTTTCTATGTCCAACCTTACATAATATAGACTTGTGACTTGTCTCCACACTTTCAATTCCCACTTTGTCTCTATGTGCATCATATTTTCTCCCCATGTACTAAAATACTAGAATGAGTGATCTTCCATTTCCCAAAAATACCTAATATGAAATTTTAAGTAGAACTGATTAGAGAATTAGTGCTTTAACTAACCCCGATCCGCTTAAGGTTGTTCAATTTAGGGATCGGGGCCTCTCCATAGGCAAACCGGATCTGACTCATTCCTACCGGCCCGTACAAGCTTGCCCTCACTTGAACAGTTCCCTGAGTCACCAATTGACTAGAGAAAATGATATTAGTTGCATGCGCGAGCACACACATATTCGCGCATACATGCACATATTCGATATTTCAATACATAGAAACTGGATTAGTAACTCTCAAAAATTACGTGCACTTTAACTAGTACCAATGCTTAGGTTGAACAAAATAATAATAAATCGAAACTGATCAACAAATTAAACTTAAGTGTATCTTTAGTGACAATCACAACATGCAAAGATCAGAAATTGAAGTGCCATTGTCGGCTATCATCTCGGATGTACCCATTCATCATGCGTATCAACTAATTTCCTCGTCATTCCTCTCAGTTAAGGCTAACAATTAAAAGTATAATTACACGTTTTTGGATCATATCATATAATAATGGTGAAATTCATAGGAGTACTAGTCCATACTTTGAGTGATTCTATAATAATAATCTATACTAAGAATGTTCATAAAAATAATTGAACTAGCAATGATGTTGATAAGAATAAATTGGAGTCAATTCAAAAAATGTAGTAGCCGCTTTCAAAATAAAAATTACCTGTATTCCAAACGTTTTCACTTTTATTGTGTATACTCATAAAAATAACCGAACTAGCAATGATGTCCGATCCACAAGAATAAATTATTTTTCACATGGGGAGTATTATTATCTCAAAATTTATAATAAAAAAAAAACAATAAGGAATTTGATAATTAGAAAGAAAGAAAAAAAACTGAAAATATATTCTTGTCAATCACCTTATTCAGAGCAGGAAGAAGTTGTCAATCCTTGAGTAATACTACGTATATATTTTCTGCAAATATATTCTTGTGATCTTGTCTATATGTGCATGCTAGCGTTAATTGATGTCATGCAATAACTTTTTTGTGGCCCAAAGTTTACTGTGTGGGGGATTTGCATTGTCCGTATTCCAACACATTTTAATATATGGAAGAAAGTGTTGTGAAATGAAGAAGATGGAGACTAAATTTATGATATATATATATATATATATATATATATATATAGATAAAAACTTCAGAATTACTTCTTCTTAATATCTGAAATTTCCTGAATTTCTCAGTTTTTATTTATTTACAAAGGGTTGATCACCTATTTATACTGGTTGGCTAGGAGATGAATCGTCAAAGAATTATTCTACATAATCTGCTGGAAACATTAAACCTAGCCATCTGTCTATTACAAGGATGGAAATTGGATTAGTTTCCTGATGACAAGGATGAACAATTCACACTTATCATTCTCAAGATTTTACAACACTCCTCCTTGAATGTTCATCCTTGAATAGATATTTATTATTTTAAAAATTTATTGTGAAAATTAAGGGGTAAAGATTACGACTTATAATGTCGTTGTATTTGGATGTATTGTCTCGTTAGAAACCTTATCAGGAAAAACCCAGTGGGATAAAAACATGATGAAGGAAAAAAGAGTGCAGTGCATTCAAAGTCGGGTGACAAGTAATAGGCTTCATACCGCATTCATTTTTGATGTGTTGAATCATAGACCACAGCCACACACATTCTCTTCCGGTTTCATATAATGCAATTAACTCCGAATGATTTGATGATGTAGCTTTCAATG